TTAAATAATCTAATTGTTTTGCGAACTAAAAACTGTGAAAAGTTAATTTCAGTACCAAAATGTGTTGAAAGGCCACTCAGGAAGCAAGCAGCCGCTTTTCCAAACGCGACACAGAAAACTCTAAGTTTGCACTTGCAAAAAAAAATGTTTGTTTTGTTTTCCCCACCACTCAATAAATGTACTCAAATCAAAGGTTGTATTTTTCTCAATCTGTCAGCATACGTTTATGGTATTGTAGTAAAAGATTGCTTTATTTACGGAGGTAAATAGTCTTCATGTCACTCATTTTGCAGGCCACAAAACCACAAAGTGCTTCTTAGTATAAACACAGATGGAAAAAACGTAAAACAACAAATAAAAACAGAATGAATTCAAGATCAAAATGAGCAAAACTAGTTAAAAACCAGTCTGAATAAGCGAGTCTTCAACTGCTTCTTAAAAGAATCAACAGACTTTCCGCATATTTGTAAAATGGGCACCAATAAGTATCACCAGCACCACCGTACACACAGCTTGTAAGTTAGAAACAGAGATCAGCCCACATGAAATGAGTGAATTAAAGCAGAAATGACACATTCCATGATTGTGGAAACTGGTTCAGGCTTCCATTAACCTGAATGTTTGTTTTTAATACACCACACACTTTTCTATTTCACTGCTATCTGTAATCAAGTTCTTTTAAGGCCTCTCATGCCTTGTTTGTACTTTAGTTCCAAATAAAATTTTAATGAAGCTCCACAGATTGAGAGACGGGGGAGCCGTGCAGTGGCATGAGCAATGAGAGGGAGGTGAATTAATGAGAGTGATTGAAATGAAATGCCCCTCGTAACGTCCTCGTGAAAAGTTCCCAATTAAGGAGAAAGTCCGCAACGTGCAAACGGACAGATTTTACCGTCTGTGACTCAGATGCAATTGTTTTTTCATTAGTTTCCTTGCTTGTGTTTGTGGTTTTAATTTTTTTTTTTTTCGAAAACAAAAGGCAACAACTAAAAAAAAGTCCACATTCAAGGGTTGAGGTTTTTTTTTTGTTGTTGTGGTTTTATGCAAATTTTTAGAAATAAAAGCAGCTACATATTTTGAGAGTGATCGCCCTGTTCCTCAAATTTCTCTAATATCATGAATAAAAATACACTGTAAGTTGAACCTCATAAGCGTTGTGGTTGCCCAGCTTTCCTCAGACAATAAAATCGACAAACAATGTTTTACATTTTAAATTTGTAAATAAACACCCTGAAATGCAACCAAAAAAGATGAACAGATCAGTTTAGTCACCTTCAAAACTCATGTAATTTTAATCACAAATGTTCATTTTTGCAGTTTTTGACCACCTATACGTCAGGAAACCTTTTGAATTCACCGAATGGCCAGGAAAACTAAATCAGTATTGGGGTTCATCGTGATTCACTTCTTTTAAACACACTTTTATTTCACTGATGGGAAAGTCGAGGCAACATGCTTTGGTAATCTGATTCTCCTCTTCGCGTTGCACCATATATTCTCTATAAGAGACGGGTCAGAGGGCTCTTTCACAAAGCCCAGACAGCAGATTAAGGCGGGATTTCCACGGCTGAATCCATCCTTCATTCAGTTTCCCAGAAGCTGCAGCATATTTTCTCTCAGCAGCTTCTCTGCTCCAGACTTGCAGAGAAACTCTGTTCGTCTTTGAGTCTCTTTAATCACAATTACGTTTTACCGCCACCTAAAAAACACCTAATCCTTTTCATCATTCAGAATAATACACCTTTCTCTTAAAAGATGGCTTTGCAATAAAATATCACCTAAGAGTTACAAATTCTTACTTTTAGTAATATAACTGGGATCGCTATTAATTATTGAATCAAAGTTAATAGAGACAAAGCTGATGTGGTTACATTACAAAGACTGCTGCTCACTCAGTAGGGGGTTGTTGACTTCTCTGCAAGTACAGTCATGCAGAAAGATGAGGAAACCCCAATAAATGTTGGAGTTTTTATGGTTTTAGTTTAGAACAGCGCACGAGGGAAAAAGGCAAGTTAAATGTCACTTACTGACTACTATCGACTCTTAGAGAGTAAAGTCATGAAATTGAGAGAGTAAAGTCGTGAAATTGAGAGAGTAAAGTCGTGAAATTGAGAGAGTAAAGTCGTGAAATTGAGAGAGTAAAGTCGTGAAATTGAGAGAGTAAAGTTGTGAAATTGAGTAAAGCCGTAACGTTACGACAACACAGTCAGAATAGTACAAGAATAAATTCGTATGGTGAATTAAAATGAGTTGCATACTTCTCATTCTGGTAATTAACATTTTTTGTTTACAGAGACATAATGTTCTATTTTAATAATGGTTTTGGCTGTATGTGGGTTCTTATCTCCATTTTATTTACTGTATTTGGTTGTTGTGTTATATTTTAGATATTTTAAATATCTCCCAGTTCCAGTTTTAAAAGTTCTTTACAAAGTTAAAGTTTGACAGGCCAGACTAGTGTCATTATGTCATTATCAGTATCCGGCATGAAAATGATCTCAAAACAACAATATTATTGTTTATCGCAATAGTTACTTGGAGAAATCATCTCCAGCAAAGTTTGTTATGTTTGCATCCTGTGATACATTTCAGTAAAGAACGTCACACCAACAGGTGTTAGTGTGACGATTTACTGCTGCTGTGCTGTAAGATGACCTGTTGTGATTGATGGCGGGCCAATAAATTCTGCTCTCTACCAGAAAATTTTGAAAGTGGCTGAACTGAAGCACACCAATAACTAGCTAAAGGCAACAAACAAAACTAAGGAGACAGCTAGTCAAAGTGAGGACAGAAAAACAACCTTAAACGAGGCGCTCATCCCTGAAAACCCAGGCCAAGTTTTAAACAATTCAACAAATAGTGGGCCAAAAAAAACCCCACTACAAATAGAGCTAAAAAGATTCAACTACATGGATATAAAAGGCTTAGTACCAATTATCATGCACACCTGAGGGCAAGTGTTACTGCAACAAGGGCAATTACTTTTTTACATGGGGTGAGGTTGATTTGGATGATTTTCTTGCTTTATAAACAGCTTAAAACTTCAGTTTTTTTTTATTTACTGATGTAATCTTTGCCTGATATACAAATAAGTTTGATGATCTGACACATTTAGGTGTGAAAAGAAGAGAAACTAAAAGAGAAGAAGTCTGTAAATGGGTAAACACTTTTTGGCAGCACTGGAGATCTCTCCCTCCAACAGCTGCTGTAATAAAGATATAATCAGTATCACCTGTCAGTAGACATAATGTTATGCCTTGTAGGTGTACGTTTTAGGCCCAAAGTGGATTTAAACTGAACAAGAAATAGACATAGGCTTTTTTTTTTTTTAGGTAAGCACACATTATGCCTTCCTAGTATAAGATGATAGGCTTTGTCACCTGTGTTTGACGGCAAACGATAGTAGTTGTCACCCATGAAAATGATCACTTTGTCTGTTTTTGACAGCCTGTGGACACGAGGAGTCACGTTTCCAGTTTTCACATTCAACACGATATCCAGCTGATAACGTGTTGGTAGAGCCGACACCTGATCAGACGGTAAACGACACGCACTCCCTCCCGTTCTCTGAGCAGTAACTACCACGGATCCTCTCTACGCAGCACCGATTTCAAGCAACGCCTCCACTCCCCTCCTCTCTTCCACTCTTGAACGCGTAGAAGTTGAATGGCATGTGAGCTCCTCAAACACGTGTGAGCCTGCTTCACCCCCCCACCCCCTTTGAAGAGCGGATTTTATTTGACATTCAATTACGGGCGGGCGCGTCTGGGAGGCACTGAATGAACAAAACGGCTCATCTCGCATCTCTCACATCCTCTCCCGCTGAGATGCTCCTGGAGCAGAGGCAAACTCACCTTTTCATTGCGCAGGCCCACATACGGTACGCTAAGTTTTCGTTTGGCAGAGAGCGACCCCCGCCTCTCTCTCCACCTCAAACCCATGTAAATCCATCATGATTAAATCCTCAAACAAGCCTGGATGCTTTCTGCTTTGACATTTCTGAGGTCACAGAGTTGTGGCTCAGTGTCACCAGTTTAAAAAGAAAACAAAAAAAAAAAAAAACAAGTAATTTCACATTGTGAGCACAGGGGGTCGCTGTTACCACATTATTAGACTTGGAAAGCTGTCCAGAAACGTTCCCAGAGTCTGTTTTGAAGCAGGGTGAACAAAGTGTGAAGAATGAGGATGGAACGGGCTCATAATGAGAACCATCTCTGTCTGCTGGTAGACTCCGAGGGCGATAGAGTCTGATGCGTTCTGTTAATTCAGGCTGTTGGTTTAAATACTGTTTAGTGCATGATCTCATGGTGTCGCATCACAGGCAGGCAGAGGTGCGAACTGCTTGTCTCCATCACACGTAGGCTGTTTGCATAATTAGGCTTTGACACCAGTCTAATAGGTGCAACAAGTGTTAATTATCAGTGCCGAATGACTGGTAACGGAGAAATGAACCGTAAATTTAGAGTCTGCTACCACCTATTTTAGCTGTCATCATCATCATCATCATTATTATTAGTGTGTTGACTCTAACAACTGCTGAGGTTTCAAACGACCTAAGTTGTGTCATCTAGCTAACCTTTGGTCAAGGTCGGATGATTGGTCTGATCCAGGGCTCAAGGTTAGGTTTTAAAAATAAATGAGTAAAGAATAGACTTACTGTGAGTAATGTTTTAATGTTAGGACCTAATTGATACTTCCCAGTCCAATGCACTGCGTGGCATAAATGTTATCTGTGGCAGCCAGGAATGTGAATGCTCCCTGCAGACATCTGTAGCTTATTCTCACTCTAAGAGTGAGAATAATTTTCTCTGTCCGAGAATGGCACCAAACACACAGCAAATAAAGAAAATGACGGTTGAAGGAAAAAAACAACGAAATTGTGCTATTCGTGCTTTTTTTTTTTTTTAGAAATACAGTCAGAAAAGATCTACTACCACTTCGCCCCCGCCCCTCCAGTTGAATCATATATCTTTTTGGAACAACAAGAACATAAAACAGCATTGGTTTTCTGTTGAAAAATCACTTTATGCTTTCTTTTCAGGGCTTTTCTTCTTCTTCTTCTGTTCTAAGGAGACAGGGAATGAAGTCCTATGTTTTGGCCCTCAGGAGGCTGGAGTCTTGAAGTGGAACGCTGTGGATCAACACAGTCCGAGGCCTTAACCTTAAAGTGAAGGTTGAAGAGTAATACATAATTAAGCTTACCAAACAAATAATATACAGATAATTCAAATTTTATGCATATGTTGTAAATGACAGACAGAATAATAAACTTTGCAGCTTCATGCTGTGTTTTCACTGTATTTTTTTTTTTTTTTTTACCAAAAATCTTAAATGGAAATTTATTGAAGGATACAATTTATTTTATTTGGAAACTGAAAGCAGCAATTATCCCTTCTGCTGCTGAAAACATTACAGTGCGTTTCTTATTATGATTACAATGGCTTTTAAAGCCTTTGTTTATTGTTATTTTAATGCGTGACTCAAAGCAAAAACAAGGAATTGGAGCGCTGCACCTTTTAGAACCGCACAAGTATAACAAGATCACATTATTTGGGTAATTAGTCAGGCTATTTGTTCTAGTAGAAAGCCAGACATACTGCTTGTAGCTTTCTCACTGTTGAAACAGTCTTAAATTAATAAGAGGGCTGGCTGGGGCTCATTCAGTTTCAAAGCAGTGAGTATCTATTTTTGCCATCAGAAATATTTACAAACAGCCAAATTTGTCCTGTTTGCAATCAGGGAGCAAAAGAAACCCACACACACACACACACACACACACACACACACACACAGCACATGGAAACAAGCACAACTCTATGCTCCATATACTCCAGCACTTTCTCTGGCATTTCTCTAAAAGGACTTTACACAGAGGGAACAGTGTGACAGAAATTATAAGGGGTTTTAAAAGCATCTCTTTTTTATATATATATAGCTTCTCTACTGTTATGTTGCTTGGTTCTCACAAGGTCACAGAGAGGGTCAACACTGCATTGATAGTTGAAGACTTTCTGCCCTGTCAATGGGCAGAAAAGACAAGCATGTTACCACCCCTAACAAATGTTGTTATGGGGGTTTATCCATGTCGATTCATTCACAGCCCAAAAAAACATACCAGCCTTACTCTACCAGGCTAGACAAGCGTATGTAATGGCTGACTCAACCAGCATCCTCAGTTGTATCCAGATTAAGATGTAGAGAGGGAAGCTAACGTTGGTGCTGAGTGCAATAATTTTCATAGCTAATATGTCATGTCCTCTAAAAATGTTGGTTCCTCCACCTGACTCTGCTCCCAATAAACACATAAATATATATATTTTTTACTGTCAACAGATGTTTCTTGCACAAATTTCTGCATGGATTCTTGTCCATTCTTGATTTCTGCTTGACTGTTAGGCTAGCTAAATACGCTAAGCTGCTCTAACATATGAGAGAGTGTGTGTGCATGGTTGTCCTATTCTATTCCTCTTTACAAAATACATTTGCTTCATAGCTGTTTATATTCAACCAGTTGTGTTTATTTTGTACAGTTGAAAATGGCGATCTGTGAAGAATGATGAGGCCCTTTTCAGTCTGATCAATCAATCTGAGTCACATATTTTAAAGGGGCAGTAGTACGTGTTTTCCAGCCACATTCTGTGGCACAATAAAGTAACTATGTCACCTTCAGTTTTAAATTAAAATAAGGTATACATCAAATGTCTTAAAATTAATTTTACTTAGTAATTTAACGCCTTGAAATTGTGTCTCTGTCTCTTTAAGACCCTCCTGCTCTTTCTAAAACTCCGCCTACAGGGAGTCATCACAACATCGCTCCTCTAATGACCCTTTCACAATATTTCTATCAGCTTTGTACTGAGAAGTAGCTTGTATGAGCTCACCAGACACACTGTTCTATCAGGTGTTTGCTAATTGCTGCTGGCTAGTCTGAAGGAACTGAGTGGGGGAGATGAAGGGGAAGAACTGCTCTGTGAGGTGGAAGCTTGGAAACTGCAGCTTTTAAGAGGAGCTTCATCCTCCAAGACGGAGCTACGTCAACCCAGATGTTTTGCACAGCTGAATGGTTGCTATGGTAGATTAAAGGATTTCTACAACATGCATTAAAGAACCAAGGCAACACTCCAGGTATGTTTATGATGAGGGAATAATATTATCACGTGACATAAAGCTAAAAAAAAAAAAAAAAAAAAAAAAAAAAACAATTTTTAAAAAAACTTTCTCACAAAAAAAACAACCCCCTTTGGG